ATTTAGGACATGACAGCCCACATGTCTGCTAAGTAGGAAGCACTGTAACCACACAGTCTATTTCATTTTGAAACAACTGCCTATTACCATTCTAATGGCTGGTTGTGTGAGTGAGTTCCACCTCAGGCCTGAGGCGGGCAGGCCTGCCGCTGCTGTACGATGATCCATCTGCATGGCAGAAACCATCCATCCAGTGGATAGCTACAGGCTGCAGACCGGCCCATTGTGTGGGCTGAGCACTGTGACTGCTCCCTCTTGTACCTCCATAATGGGATTACATTAGCCAGGTTCTTCTGCTCCCTCTCCAGCCCTCTCTCTCTCTCTCTTCTCCTCTTCTCTCTCTTCCTCACTCTTTCCCTATCTCACACACATACACACACACACACACACACAAACACATTATAGACAAACACACAGTCTGTGAGCCAGTGTGTGAATGACTGACCGTCCACTTGGCCACCTCATGTTTGCAACCTGTTTACTTGCCTATGGCCCTGTGTAATGATGCAGGTTTCATCCCCATTTTACAGATACTTTTGTTTTCAGCAGAAACATATGGGGTTATATGATTTACACTTTTCTTGAAAAATATTTTGCCTTTTGCTGTGTTGTCTCATTTGTTTTCACGGGTGTGTAAGAGAGACGCGCAGAAGAATCGGAGAAAGACAGAGAGAGACAGAGGGTTTTGTTCAGGGTTTTCCTCAAGGAGAGGCTGCCATGTGTAAAATCTTGTTCAGAACCAGCAATTGTGTTTTGTTGGGCTGCACCAGCAGGGCTAAGCTGTTCGTTGAAAACCAATTTGTTAATGTCTAAACGCTGTGCTAGTTTTCCCTCAAGGACAAAGATTGATATTCAACATAACATGCCAAGACACCACTGAAGAAGAATATGGAGAGTGATGATACTCAAGAGGAATTATGCAAGAGATCTCAAGGACTAGAAATTGTGTCTTTTTCCCTCTTTCTCATCTTCTTTCAGTCTGTAGTTCATTAGCTTCACTTACACTAATACAGTCTGTCTGTTCCATAAAGAACTAAAAATCATTCTCGAAGAATCTAGTGTACTGTGCATCACTTTTCAACATCATACAGACTCAACATAGCTTATCACTGCTTTCTCTACTTTATGTTTAATGCTTTCAGAGGGCATTTCAGTAAAAATCATTTGGCCGTTTATGTTAGTTAAATACTAAATGATATGGGATTGATTAAAAGGGTCAGGCTACCGGCCTACCAAAGCGTTTAAATCTGGAGGTAGCCACCATAAAATTAAAACGGGGATCAATGGCGTGTCATATCCCTGCTGCTCCGCGGGCTGAACATGTAATTCTAACGTTGAGGCTGCAGCCATCTCTCACGTCAGGCCTTCAAGCATCAGGCTCAATAACCCAGCCGCCCATAGCTGCTGTCTATTGCCACCCATGCTGCAGTATTCACAAGCAGAAGCAGACATATATTAGTGTGGTCTGTATCTTCTGGCTCCTCTACAGAACTTTGGCCTGCAACATTGGTATCATGATTGTATGAATGGTTTCTTTGGAGTTGTCAATTAGAGATAGGAATTTGAATTAGACATTTTGAATTAGAAATCGGTTGTAAATAATTTGCAGACCTTAAAGGAGAAGTTGTGTACCAATCAAAAGCTTGCTTTGATCTGAGGAGAGTGTGAGAGGGTCTTTTGCTAATGTTGCTCAGCCTTGCTAACCTGCCTAACCAGTTTATTTAAGATGGACCAGCAAAGTAACCACTTATATCAAAGGGCAATAATTGTTATGTATTTTCTCTCAAGAAATGTTAATATAATTTGTTTATTGTGAATTCAAATGTATAGCTCCACCTTGCACACATTTTCTTTGCTAATAGTCGTTCACATCAGTATTCAGTGTCTCAGTGATGGCAACCACGCACAGCCAGAGGGCCGCACACGGAGCCTCTAGACATTGTAGTCGTCTGTTTCTCTTTTATCACACTTTCTCCAAAGACTTTTGTTGTAGGTGAATTCTTGTGCGTTGACAAAGACAAACACAGTATATTGGATTCATTTACACCCAATTCATTCTTAATTGTATGAATAACACCCGATTGTGCTGTGCACCCAGCTAGCAGAGCCGTTGCAGATTTTGTCTGATTTCCTTTGTAATTACTGTGATGTTTTGTGAAATCTTTCCATCAAAAGTAATTATAGAAATTCTCCTGATTTGTGAAAGTGCATTGAAAACATAGTAAATTACAGTCATGGCTTTTTTGTTTCTGTATTGTCTCTGACAGCATTTGTAGCAACTTGTCAAATGTTTTTTTGTCTTAATGGCATACAGTGGTTTTACTTGTTTCACTTGTGACTGCAAAAGGAAGGTTGATTAGCATCATTTACAGTTTATTTCCAGTCGACTGTGTAGTGAAGTTCTATAATGGTGTGATTTTCACAGTGGAGATTCACAAATCAATGTATTGATTTCTGATAATGGTTTGAAAGCATTTACTCACTTCAAATCGTAAAAAAGAGAAAAATGAAAAAAGAAACACAAGAAAAAGAAAAATGATATAAATAATGAAAGTGCCTTTAGAGAATGGTTGTGTTTTCATCACTGAATAGCGTTATTAAGACTCTGATTGGAGAGATGACCTTTGGTGGCCATTATCAACTTGGTCTAATAGGCTGTATTTGGCGGTGTCAGCTCTGTGAATAGCTGTGATGTTGGTATGAGAGATGATCGATTCGATGACACATCTGTCTGGAACAGGTGCTGCTCCGCTGTCTATCTCCTCTCTTTGTCAGTGCTTGCTAGCTGCAGCTGGGTTTTGGTTCAACCCTCCGCCTGCTCTTGGCTTTATCTGCTTTCAATGGCTTAGGATTACATTGCCAACCAGCAAAAAATCTATTCCCTGCCTGCCTGCCTGCCTGCCACCTCTTAGCTAGCCAACCACTGTGCAAAACAAACTATGGCTGGACAGTAACCTGGTCATCAATTCAGTCATCTCTTTCTTTGTAATAATATAAAAGTTGTCATATCTATTGCGGTTCATTATTGTCATGGCTAAATGCATCATGAGTTAAAACTGATCAAGCTCTAACAGAATGTGGAATCATAAACACTTCAGAGGTGATGCCTCAAACTCGACAGAAGTGATAAATACACATTTTCATTTAGTTAGTTTAGTTTAATAGATCTGTCAGTAAAAAGAAAATCTGTAGGCTTTTCCACATGTAGATCTCTAGAGAGGTGCTAATTGAAATGTGCCCGCCACATGTAAGAGATGATA